GATTGCATTGTTTGCTTCAAATCTTCTATCACATTCACCGTTAATGATGCTGCGCAAAATCTTTGTGACCAAAACCTTTGTGGTCAAGACCTTTGAAGCATTTGATGATTTCAAAATCAATTTTCCTGTTTTGCTTTAGCATCACCATTATTAAANATTTGTTTTAATGAATTAATATTCATTTACAGTTGGAAGAATGAAATACCTTCTTCTGGAACATAAAAAGTCTGTGCACCACATGCCAATACTGCAGATGTTGCAATGTCCCCAGAGTTTCTTCTTTGAACTTCAATAACAAACACTCTATTTCTTGATGCTGAACCACTTTGTTTAATTGTATCACAGTATTTAACCAATCAATCAAAACAATTAGTAGTACCAAGAAACTTCTGTACCTGAAAAATTATTTGAAATTATAGCAGGAATTAAAACCAATGGAAATTGCAAAGGTGGATAATTTATTCTATTACTTTCCAATTGATGAAACGAAATATAACCTTCAAATCTTCCAACAAAACCTTCACTTTTATATCTTGTAAAATAATAACCAATTAAACCAATTAAACTAATATCACTATCTGCAGGANCTTTTCTATTAGTACCTCATTCAGATGCACTAGTATTATTCCAGTTAATCATTGCTGACCAATTTAATGCATTAATCGATTCATGTCTTGTTAATCCTGTAAATCCATTATAAATACCCGATGGTTTATGATCTCTTGAGATACAATATGTCGCGATTGAATAGATTGTACTATTAATTCCACCAGCAAGTGCACCAATATTAGTAATTGCAATATTAAATCGTTTTTCTAATAGTAAAGTGGAATTATTATGATCTGCAGAATTCATTGACATGAAATTATTTAAATGCTTAATAAATTCTGAATCTCTCAATTGCGTTGGTTTTCTAATATTTTTATTATCAATTGCATCAGCAACAGATTCAGCTAATTCAACAGCTTCAACTCATGGTCTTCTAGTTATTTTATTTTCTTCAATTGC